ACCTGGGGGATAGCACCGTAATTCCAGATGTAGCCCTTGTGGGGAAACACGTTGGCTACGTAGCGCAGCTTTCCTTTCTTCACATCTTGCTTAATTGGGTTTAAGGGTTCCTTTGTTGCAATCTGAAAGAAAAGTTGCATAAATCCCTTTGCTTTGCTCTCTATGGAAAAAACAAGTGATTTTTTTTTTTTTAATGGAACTGACAAGCCAAGAGACCAGGAGCTGACCCTGAAGGCAAGAGCAGATACTGAACAGCTCCATTTTCCTGTTGCATTGCCATCTCCTGGGATAGAGTTTTCAGCAGACTCCCAAGCATCAGAATCACATGGGGTTAAGAGCCATAAAATGCTGCTTTAATCAGAAGCCACAGAAGAATACCCAGGCAAACTTCTGCAATCTCAGCCTCCACGCCAGACCTCCAGCACTGAACAAGTGCTGACAGGAGAAGTTAGAAACCACTCTGATTCTGGAGGTGGGATTGAGGAGAGAATCAGCAGAGCCAAAGATTAAGACTTAGTCAGCTCAAGCCCCTTTGCTAGGAACTGTAGTGTAGTTACCTCCATTTTAGCATTTGTCCATCGAGGTACTTCCACAACCATGTTGAACACATTCTGAAGAAAGCAAAACATCAATGAGTGGGAAGGAAGACCACACTTTAAACTAGGAAACACACGCCAGCCAGCTCCCATGAAACCCTAAGATTTTTTTCTGTGGGTTTTTTTTTTGATGCAGCTGATGAAACTCCCATAGCCCAGCCAGTCACACGTCATCACTCAAAGCTGAATCCCAGAAAAGACCCCAGCAAAGGCCAGGTTGAGGTTACCCACACATTCTCCAGGTTACCCCCACATTCTCCATCAGTTGCCACCCACAAACATCCCCATCACATTCCTAGGATACAGAACAGCAGGTTAAATGAACTGAAGACAGCTGCATACAAACTATCCTGGACGTAACAAAATGAGGTCTGGGGCATATTTATTAAATACAAAGTGCTTAATGTTCCAGCAAGGGCCGCTCTGGCCATCTAGAAAAGATAAGACTAACAGGAACAAGCCACCAACTTAATAATGTGGGTATCTATGTACTGCCCTGAATGAGTGAGGGCATCGCTCCCAAATATCTGTCATGATGCAGGGAAGGATGTCCTCTCTCCAAGCTGGCACTCCTATAAAAGAAGACCTCGTTAGTGGCATGGTGTGAGGATAAAGGTGTGGGAGGAGAAATGCAGAACCACATCTTGCAGTATCTAGTTTACAGGTGATGCTTGAAAACATCTCCTGTTGATCCCGTTGGGCTGAGGGCTCTTGAGAGCTCAGTGTCAGCCTCCTCATCCAGAAAAGCTTTTCCACACTTGAACATTAACATCTGCTGTGTGAAGAGATTATGGCTTTTTAACAAAAAGTCAAACCTTGCTCCCTAGCCTGGACAAGGTTTCTAATCCCCACCTTAAGCCGTATTAGCACGGCAAAGTCCCTCGAACCTGTATTGCGCCATTATCAGACTGATAGCGTGCAACAAGCACTGCTACCTCACTGACTTTGCTCACACCCTGCCCTAGCAGAGGTTTATTACCCCCCTTAATTGCAGGGGTCACTGCTCATTTGCGTTTTGCACGTAAAAAGGTACACCCTATTTTTATTCCTAACTGGAGCAGAGGAATGAGGCAATCGGTCAGGCTGGGCAGGGTGCTCACGGCCCTGCAGGCAGGGAAAGGTGACTTGGAGCTGCATCTTTGTAAGGCTTGGACTTCCCCCACTGTCAGATCTGCCTTGGCCTGAGACACTCAGTGAGCAGCCCAAGGTCGTTCCAAGGCACTCAGGTACAGATAAGACCAACACAGCCCAGCCCTAGACCGGAAAAAACACCCTGCAATCCTCTCAGCGTCTTAGGAGTCTGAGGATAAAGATCAAGGAGCCCAGACAGAGTGAGACAACCTTTTGCTCCGAGCTGGGCTCTATAACAGAGCTGGCAACCCACCTGCTCAGTGCAGAGGCACTGGAGCCACAGAGGGAGGCCTGGTGTGATCAGCACCATTGTGTAACTTCGGGGACTGAGACCTTCAGCGCCTGGGACTCTTTTCTCTGAATGACTTGGCACAGAGGTGCTGGCAGCAGCCCTGTGCCCTCAGGTAAACACCAGCAGCTTGGTTTCCCCTGTTAAGCATTACCAGTCCACGGAAATCCTCCCCACCCCTGTGCTCACTCCCCTGCTCCTTCCTCCCCTGTTCTGCGAGTGTCTGCAAAGCAGGATTATCCGGATTTGCCTTGTCTGGAGTTACCTTTCGGACACCTGCACTGAAAACTGCTTCCCCACTTGGCCATAGGAACTGCTTCACCTCTGTCCTTGATGACTACAATCCATCATTTCCCTTCTGAGCAGGCAAAAGCCACCTCAGGCTTCCTGGAGCACCTCAGGTAGCTCCATCACCTCCACCTCAGTAGCTCAATCCGCTGCTTCTTTTAGACGTTCATCTCTCAACTCAGAATATTCTTTTCCTTTCCCAGAACCACTCTACACCTCTGAATTACATCTCTGTCTAATGAACATTAGCTCATCCACTGCATTTCTCAAGCTGCACAGCTTTTTAGTACATATTAAAAGAAGAGATGAGCTACAACAGCACGGAACACAGTCAGAGAGCTCAAGGTACCAGTGAAAATGCAGTCAGTGAAAAATGAATCACAACCATTTTGGCTTCTTGGAGCTGGGGCTTTTTTGGTTCAGAACAGCCTAATTTGACTCACAGCTGGCTGCTGAAAGGATGTGAAAGCCCTGCAGCACTGCATGGGGCAGGTTCTGAGAGGCACAAGGTCCTAGGAGATGCTAAAGCAGGAATTCAACATCCTTGCCCTCTGTTCAGTGTTGGATTACACTGCAGGCATAAAGTGGCTGCACTGCAGTCAAACCCCAAGCCTGAAATATGCAGCACCCATAGGATTAGATGTAGATATTACAGCTGAACAGAAAACCGATTTTTTTAACCCAAAACCCCTTTATGGGTAAGCTCAAGTCAACCACTCACATCTCAGATGGAAAAACGAGAATGAGATCACCCATTCTCTTTTCCTGGGTCGCTCCACCCGAGGCCAGGACAGCAAGAAACCCACTCCCTGCACAGTCAGGCGATGCCTCCTCAGGTGCTCCTGCAGTGTGGGGAGCTGGGAGCCTCCCCCGGGTGTTCCCTGGGTGTTTCAGGACCCCCTGGATGTTTCAGGACCCCCTGGATACTTCAGACCCCCAGTTCCCTGGGTGTTTCAGGACCTCCTGGATGTTTCAGGACCCCCTGATCTCCTGGGTTTTCCAGGATCCCCCAGCCTCTGAGTTTTTCAGGATCCCCGATCCCTGGGTATTTCATGACCCGCTGATCCCTTGGGTGCTTCAGGACCCCCTGGGTATTTCAGATCCCCTGTTCCCTGAGTGTTTCAGATCCCCTGTTCCCTGGGTATTTCAGATCCCCTGTTCCCTGGGTATTTCAGACCTCCTGTTCCCTGGGTATTTCAGATCCCCTGTTCCCTGGGTATTTCAGACCTCCTGTTCCCTGGGTATTTCAGGATTCCCTGTTCCCTGGGTATTTCAGGATTCCCTGTTCCCTGGATGTTCCAGGACCTCCTGATCCCCTGGGTGTTTCAGGATCCCCTCTTACCTTCCCGGCGTCCGCGTAGATGGGGATATCGTGGAAGGGGGAGATGTATCGCCCGGCGGCATCCTCTGCAAGGCAAAGGGAGAAGCGGGGGGGGGCGAGTGAGATGCTGATGGACACGCGGGCAGGACCCACGCGGGCGCGCAGGGGAGCGATGCGGGCGAGGGAGAAGGGTGCCCGGCAGGCTCCCCCGCGGCCCGGCGGGGGCCGTGGCGCTGTGTGGGGCGGCACTCACTGAAGAAGAGCCGGTACTCGGCGCTGTGGGGCGCGGCGCGCTCCTCCACGCTGAACCCCGACATCGCTGCCGCCGCTCCGCGCATGCGCCGCGCCGCGCCCCCCCCGCCCGCGCACTGCGCACGCGCCGCCGAGCGACTGGGACCGCCCTGCGCCACGCGGCGGGAATGGGGTGGGATGGGATGGGATGGGATGGGACAGGGACAGGGACAGGGACAGGGACAGGGATGGGATGGATAGGGAGGGATGGGATGGGATGGGATGGGATAGGGATGGGATGGGGTGGGATGGAATGGGATAGGGTTAGGGGTGGGATGGATAGGGAGGGATGGGATGGGATGGGATAGGGACAGGGATGGGATGGGATGGATAGGGAGGGATGGGATGGGACAGGGACAGGGATGGGATGGGATGGATAGGGTGGGATGGGATGGGATAGGACAGGGACAGGGACAGGGATGGGATGGGATGGATAGGGTGGGATGGGATGGAATGGCCATAACAGCGTGGGGTGGCATGAACTGCCATGGTCTGGCACGGCACGGCCATTACAGCATGGGATGACACAGCATGGCCACAGCAGTACAGGGTGGCATGGTCCGACATGGCCATGACAGCCCGGGGTGGCACGGTCCAGCATGGCCACAAGAGAATGGGGTGGCTTGGTCCGCTGTGGCCACAGCAGTGTGCTTTGGCATGGTCTGGCATGGCCATGATAGCAGGGCAGGATCCAGCATGGTGTGGCTTGGTCCAGCGTGGCATGATTTGATCCAGCACAACACGGCTTGGTCCAGCCAGCCCATCATGGCTTGGGTCCAGCCTAGATGGCCACAACACTATGGTATGGCATGGTGCAGCACGGCCGTGACGGCATGGCTTGGGCCAGCACAGCCTGCTATGGGCCAGCAAAGGCCTGCACAGTTCTCCAAGCATGGCACAGCCCGGGACAGCCCATTCTCCCTCCCTGCTCCCTGGTGCCCGCACTCCATGGCCCCAAGGCTGGACTGGAGCTGCATGAAGGGGGTGCTGACAGAGCACAGGGCCCTGTGGTGCCGGGGGCTCAGCTGGGGCCCTCTGGATGGTGCTGCGGGGGGGAGCGGAGGAGCCAAGGCAGGGACGTGGCATCGGTGGGATGCGCCTTTATTTCAGTGACCTGTGGCCCATGAGGTGCCAAATCCCCGCTCCCCACCCCTCAAGCCCTCAGTCCAGAGGCCACTCAGCCATCCCAGGCAGGGGGCCCAGTGCGGCGCAGGGCCAGCGGCCCCGACTCGGACGCGGGGGGCGAGTCGCTGGTCCGTGCCTGGGTGAAGACGCGGTTGCGGGTGCCGAGGAAGGTCCCGTGGCCGTGGCTCCGGGGGGTGTAGGGCCTGCGGTGGCGGCACCGGAGCAAGCAGGGGGGGTTCCTGAAGACCTCCTGGAAGCCTCGTCGGAAGTTCTCGTTGAAGTAGCCGTAGATGATGGGGTTGGCGCTGCTGTTGAAGAAGGCCAGCCAGTGGGCGAAGGGGTACACGTAGACGATGACCAGGCGGAGCTGGCCCTCGCTCAGCCACCCGTAGTCCGTCAGCAGCAGCAGCGTCCAGAGGGGCAGCCAGGAGATGCTGAAGAAGAGGGCGACGATGATGAGCATGTTGATGACCTTGGCCTTCCTGCGGGAGATCCTCCTTCCCTCCGGCTCCTCCCGGCCATGGGCAGGTGCCACCGACTTGAAGAGCTTGAAGGCGATGCGGGCGTACATGACGACGATGAGGGCGAGCGGGGCCACGTAGATGTGGGAGAAGAGGACGGTTGTGTAGATCCTCCTCATCCCCGTCTCGGGCCAGGCCTCCCAACAGGAGTAGAGAGGGTAGGAGTTGTTGTGGGTGTCCACCATGAAGTGGTGCTCCTCCCTGGTGACAGTCAGGGTGATGGCAGCGGGGCACATGATGAGCAGGGCCAGCACCCAGATGATGGCGATGGTCAGCAGGGCTTTCCTCAGCGTCAGCTTCTGCCGGAACGGGTGGACGATGCAGCGAAACCTGTGGGAGGGCAGATGGCAGTGGCTTTGGGCACCTACTGGGACATCCCTGGGGAAGGAGGGCAGCCGGGACCCGGGGGGGGTGAAGGGAGGGTGAGGTGGGTTGCTCTTTATGTAACACTTTTGGTGGCAGGGGTAGGCTGGGGTGTGTCCAGCTTTGGTGTTTTCACGGTGGGGAAGGACAGCTTGCTGGAATCCCCATGGGCAGCTTAGTGGTCCTTATGGAGAGCTGGGACACGCTCCTGACATCCCCAGGAGCTTTCCCGTGATGGAAACCACACAGGACACCTGAACCTGCTGGAGGCAGTTGGCCCCACATTCCCACATTCCCAAGCCAACGTACCTCTCCACGGCGATGGCCACCAGTGTGAAAACGGAGGCGGAGACAGACATGCCCTGCACGAGGCCACTCACTTTGCACATGGTGTTGTCAAAGGGCCAACCTGTGAGGGGACACCGTGGAGGCTGTAGGTGCCCTGGGCTTGGCCAGCTCCCTTTAGATGTCCCCATCCACTTTGTTGTTGCTGGGGGATGCTAAATCCTGCTTCTAAAGGGGAGCTCATATGGACACGGCCTTTTGCAGCACAGATGCTTGGAGAAAAAACCCAAAATAGGTAAAAAAAGATGCATATTACACTCTTAGGAACTCAAGGAAGATGGTGGCTGCCATTTCTCCTGCCCTTGTCTAGGGCTTGAGCTGTTATCATGGGGACCTACCTTGGGATCCTCAATCAGAAGGACTTTCATCTTGTTTCTTGACCCCAATGCCAAGGCAATAAATATGTCCCGCCCCATGATCAATAAACACAAACTCTGCCCTGTGGCCTAGCTGCCTCTGTGGCTGAACTCTGACAAATGTCATCCCTTATCTTTGGAAAGGGCAACGGGCACGGCTGAGCCATCACGGAAGAAGATGGATGCAGGAAGAAGAGGGTTTTTTTTCAGGGTTGCTTGATGAAGAAGGGCTGAACTTTAAATAAATATGCAAATGCAGCATTAAGATTATTTTGCCAAAAATAGTCAAAACCTCAAAGTAAAAAAAAAAAAGGATGTTTCCCCCCTAAAATAGGAGCTCTAGGTGAAATCACACCTTTCCTCAGGTGTGGTTGAGTGGCCACCACCTGCCCTTCTCATCCTCACCAAAAACACCATCCGGGGCTTGGCCTCATGCGTGGGGGGCAGAAGGTGAGTGGGGGTTGTTCCTTCCCCCCACCACTTTCTCTCCCCTGTCTCGTGTCTCGCCCCTCCACTGCCCCGCTCACCTGTGATGAGGTTGTCCACCAAGGTGGTGGGCATGCAGAAGATGCCCACCAGCAGGTCACTGATGGCCAGATTGAGGAGGAACATGTTGGTGACCGTCCGCATCTGGCGGTTCTTCACCACGACGAAGCACACCAGGATGTTGCCGACCATGCACATGAGGAAGATGAAGGTGTAGGCCAGGATGAACATGAGGGCCACAGGGGAGGAGTGCTGGTAGTAGGCCAGGAAGGTGTAGTTCTCCCTCAGGAGGTGACTGTAGCTTGTGGTGTCATTTGGCCACCAGGTGCCACTGGAAGGGCCTGGGGAAGGGAAGGCAGGAAAATGAAGCTGGGAGAGGGTAAAGCAATTATTCCCTTCATTTCTTAATGCCCTCAGAGGGGGGGTTTCATGTTTATTCCAATGCCCAGCCTGGCTGGGACACGTCCTGTTGGGATCATTGCAGTGCCCCAGCAAGTGTCCCTGTCCTTGGGTTACACAGCTCAGGGTACTGCAGCACGTCAGGTGAATCATTATTTTATATCATTAGCTTTTGAGTCATTCTTATTTATATAACTCTTTTGATGAGGAGTTAGAGCAGCCCAGAAGGCATCCTGATCACATGGGGTTTTTTAGGGATAAAGCAAGGAAATAAATCCCCATCTTGACATTTCAGTGCTCTGGCCTTATGGGAAGCTGTATCCATGTGGTCCCCGTCACGGCTGGCCGGGATCCCTGCTCCCGGCTGGCTGCTGCTGCTTCTCCTTGTGCTTCCAAGGTTTACAGTTTGAGATTCCCTAAAATCTTATTCTCCCTGGCAAACCTGCAGTACCTGAGGGAGAGGGACTGGGGCAGAGGAGACCTTGCCCTCCGTTTAACATATAAAGCAATAATTATGACTCTGATCATTATCTGGGAGCTTCTGATGGAGTGGGGGATGGAATTTTGTCACTACGGATTTAACGGCGAGCGGGTCTGGGCAGCTCCCACCCTCGGGTTTCCCCAGCCTTACGCGGGCAGGGACGCGGGAGGATGCCGGGAGCAGCAGCTGCCTGCAGTGGTGACGGGACTGACTCCGGGAAAACCCAGCCTGCAATTTTAAGGCAAGAAAAGGCATATTTTACCTCCAAGGTTCAGCCTAACTGCCTGCAGGTCAGCCCTGCTCTGAGAAAGCCCCCAAAGCCGCTGCGTGATGGGCAGCTGGAGCATCCCCCCATCCCTGTGCCGGTGCCGGTGCTCAGCTCGCCAGCCAAGGTGCTTTTCCCAGCCACCAGGACTACCGGCTTCTCCAAGGCTCCTGCACGCAGGGAGGCCCCCTCCAGCCCCTATGACCGCGTCCGGGGTGCAGGATTTGGGCAAGACGTTTCCAGCCGGGCTTTGGAAAGGTGCTGGACGGGTTTGCAGCCCAGGGACACAGGGGAAGGAGCGTCTTGGAGAGGCAAGAAAGCAGCGGGATTGGGGGCAAGATTCTCCAGCCAGTCGGCATCAGACGCACTCACATGACCCAGCTTCGTTAGCAGGAGTGCTCCTTCGTTAGCAGGAGCAAAGACTGTGACGAGGTTGCCCAAAATGTACAATATTAACCCCAAAACTTTGCTGGACTTAACCTTTTTTGGGCTGCAGTGCAGCATTAGCGGGAGGTGGGTGTCCTGTGGAATTAGAGGTGGTTTAAAGAGCGAGGTGGAAGACGGGGAAAGGAAAATAAGGAGTGGCTGAGCACCCAGGGTTGGTGCTGGATGAATGGGTGGATGGATGAATGGATGGATGGATGCAGGCATGGAAGGGGGTACCGGGCGGGGGGCGAGGGACCGCTTGCCTCCCTGCCTGGCTGTGGGAAACCACCGCAGGAAAAGACTAGGCTGATGGAATAGGGGGCTGGGGACGGGGTGGACGGCTTCTGTGGGGGGATAAAATAAAACAAACCAGGTCTCGGTACTCACCTCCGCCGGCCCGACCCGGCTCCGGGGGCTGCATCGCTGGCGTGGGGTGCTGCCGCCGGGGGTGGGGGGCTGTTTTCCCCCCGTCCCTCCCCCGGTTCCCCGCCCCCGGTCCCGAGCCCCGGTGCCGCTACCGCGGAGCCGCTGCCGCGGTGCCGCCGCGCCGCTTGCGGCTGCTCGGGCTGCAGCGGAGAAGGGGAGGGGGCGGCGGGGGGACAGCCTCCCATCGCCATGGATACCACCGGGGGACCCACACGCAGCCCCCCGCGGATGAGCCAGCGCGGGGACGGGGGGCCCGCGGAGACCAGGAGAGAGAGGGAGCAGGTTTGCTCCCCTGGGAAGGGTCGGGGTCTACGTCCCCCTCGCTGCCTCCGAGGTCCCCGGACTGATGCTGGCAGCTGATGACCGGTGTCCCCAGCAACACCGGGGCGGAAAACATGCCAGGAACCACAACGCGGGTGGGGAGGACCCCCCTCCATCACCCCATGCAGTAGGGAGAAGCAACACGGTCTTTAGGGATGATGGTCCTGACTCCAAGCTGCTCCATTATTCCCAACATCAACAACCCGCTTCTTACCATGGTCTTTTACCAAAGTTTGGCAAGTCTAGAAGGATTTACAGGATTAACCCGTCCTGGCTGGACTCACGCCACTGGGAAGTGTTTGTCTCTTAAAAAAAACCCAAAGGAGCAAAAGAGGGAGATGTTTAAACAAACCATTTTGAGATAACACCTGTGGTTTCTCCCAGGAGTTTGTGTTTTTCCTTTTTGCAGGCAGCTGCTATTGGGACACGGGTGTGCTCGGCAGTGGCCTCCCTGCCACCGAGGAGCCGCTCTCTCCAGGACATTTCTTCCTGGGAGAGAAAACAGCACTTCTTGAGGACCCACAGCACCGAGAACATGGGTGCACACACCTGGGGACACCCACGGGGTGAGCAGCGTGTGGGGACCTGCTGGTACTGCTTTGCTCCAATTTCCATGGTGGAAAAAAAAACACAGAAGGAAAACAAAAGAATCCTTGGAAAACCAAGGATTTTGCCAAGGAAATACTGCTCAGGTCTGTGCAGAATCCAGCCGGAGGCTGCAGTGAGCAGCTGTGGAGAAGTGCAAAGGGGCTTCTTTAAGGGGAAGACTGATAATTCAAATTTAAGCAGATACAAACCCCCTTGGTGTAACAGGAAAGCGTTTAATCAGGCACTTGGCACACCGGGATGTCAGCGATTCCAGGGCGAACCCTTACGGCCCCGGGGATGTCCCCCACCACCCCGGCTGCTCCCCATCACCGCCCAGGCAGGAAGGATGTAGCCGAACATCCAACTTCCCCCAGCTTTACCCAAACCTCGCACCGCACGCACTGCAGCTCCTCTGCATCCCCCAAACACGCAAGCGGGAGATTCCCTGGCTCGGGAGCCGGCAGAGCCGTCCGCTCACGGAGGAGCCCCGCTGCTTGCTTTTAATTACAGTAAAACGAGGGACTGGCTGCCTCGCCGCGGGTTTGGGACAGGAATAGGGGCGCAGCAGGGACTGACCTAAGCGAAACCACTCTCGTGGGCAGTCGCCCCTCGGGACAGCTCGCCCGGGCACCCCGAGACCCTGTCAGGCTTCAGGGATGGGGTCCTCTGGTGACAGCAGCAGGTCGAAGGGGACGAGGGGCCGGACGAGCAGCCGCACCTCGGGGCCGACGGGGTTGTCCCGCAGGTTGAGGCTCCGCAGCGATGCCATGGACGCCAACTTCTCCGTCGGCACCTCTGCAAAGAGAGCGCGGGGCTGAGAACCCGTCCCGGCGTCTCCCGCCGGGGAATTCGGAGAGGCGCAGCGGGGGAAGCTCCTCTTGATGGACAGCCCAGAGCTTAACCTGCTCCTGCCGCTCTGCAGGCTTTGATCGCGACAGAAACATAACAAAATCCCAGATTATACGTCTACTCAAGCAAATGGTTATGGGTTGGGCTTGATGATCTTAGAGGCCTTTTCCAATGATTCTGTCATTCTGTGAAATGTCTTTGCAGGAACACCATGATATTCAATGTGGACACTGCCCTCCAGTTCTCCCAGTCCTAATAACCCCCCTGCTGGGGCACTAAACTGGTATTCAAAGACTTATTCCCTGATTTTATTCCCGGTGTTGCAATGCCCAGGAACCTTCCCCAGGCTAACAGGGGAGCATGTGCTCTTTGCCCTCTTTGGACAGGCTGCAAAATGGCTCTTGGCCATCAACAGGAACCCTCCTATTTTGCAATTTCCATGAATTTGGGTGTTTTCCTTTAGAAAACATTACATTTACGAACTTAACATTAAGAAAAGGTGCAGGTCTCCTGGATGGTCCCAATGTGAATCCACTGACGGCAGAGGAATGAAACTGATACAAAACCAGAACCATTTAGGTCCTTCAAAGGTGATACATTTTTTGTTCCAAATCACAATATTTTGGGCCTACCTGATTTACCAAAACCAATTTCTCCTTAATTTGGTCACTAAAAGACCAAGAGCCTTTTTTTTTCCAGCTCCCATTTCTTCTGCCAACACCTAGAGCAGAACTGTGGTGTTGTGATTACAGCTGGATGATTATGTGATTTTTAGACCATGAAACTTACTTTACGCTGGAAAAAAGCTCAAACACTTCGATGCCTTTGTTTTTTCCCTCATTCTCCTCCAGAAAACAGTGCTATTTTCCATACACGTATTCCTTAGCAGCTCATCTCTCATCAGGCAGAGCTTCACATGATATTTTTTAATAACTCTTCTTCATGGTGGATTTTTTCACTGCAATTCTCCTGTATCATTTTGCTCTTTTTTCCCCTTGAGGCACAAAAATAATATTATTTTTTCACAGATCTTCCTGTTTAATCATCTTTTAGGTCTGTGCAGTGTGATAAAGTTAAAAGTGCTTCCCCCCACTTCGCTTGAATTTAGGGAGTTAAGGAAATTATGTTAGGGACCAAGCCTTGCTCTGAGTGGAAACAAGCCCAACTCTGCACCTTAATTCCAGGTAAGAAGTGGTGACTCACCCCGGCATGAAGGGACAGGCAGGGCACATAGTGCAGCCTGTAGCTGGAAGGTTGTGCCATGGGAGCCCCAAATTCCTCTGTAAACAACCCAAAACATCTGTTGCTGGCTTCCCAGTAGATAAGGCACTTGTGTTTGAGCCTGAATTATTTGTGCTGGCTTCACCAGTCAAACAGAAAAAGGGGCAAAAAAAGCTTTTCCTAATTAAAGCAGAATGTGATGAGTGGCAAACGCAGTTCCTTCAGATGAAAGGGATGCTGAGGGATTGGGAGGCATCTGAGGAGGTGAATATGAAAGGGCTGTGAGGCGTCTGGGGAGCTGGTGATGAACACTAACAGCCAGGTATGGCTGCATATTGAAGGGGAAAGAACCCTGCTCAGCTCAGAGCTGCCTCCCTTTTAGCATTACCCACATCCTTTGGTGGCACCAGCTCCTCCGAGGCTCCTCCAAACCTGCTGGTGGAGACCCACTCACTGGCACCTCTGTGGTTATTAACAAAAATGCCTTTTCCGTGCCATTATCTCACATCAAGAGTGATGATAGAACCATACAGCCATGGAATGGTTTGGGTTGGAAAGGACCTTAAAGATCATCTCATTCCACCCCCTGCCATGGGCAGGGACACCTCCCACCAGCCCAGGTTACTCCAAGCCCCGTCCAACCTGGCCTTGGACACTTCCAGGGATCCAGGGGCAGCCACAGCTTCTCTGGGCAACCTGTGCCAGGGCCTCCCCACCCTCACAGGGAAGAATTTCTTCCTAATATCCAAATCAAACATACTCTCTTTCAGTTTAAAACCATTCCCCCTTGTCCCATCACTACATGTCCTCAGGAGGACAAAATTAACCACAGTTGCCCCCGGCAGTGACCTGCCCAGCCTTGGCAGCAGTCTCAACATCATCTCTATTGAACTATTAATCAAGGAATAAGGGAAAGAGAAGCTGAAGCTCCAGGTATCCAAGCATCCCCATGGATTTGGGAGCTTAAAACCCTGATTTGATATAAGTCTAATTATCAGGGAAAGAGTTAAAAGCACTGACAGTAATATATACATAATTACAGTCCAGGTTTAAGAGCTTATTGAGATGAAAAGGGCAGGTTGTGGCATAAAATGTCTCCTTTCACAGAGCCCACAGGCTCCAGGCAGGCATTAATTAATCTCCTTTTATTCTCATTTCCCTTTAGCTGGAAAACATTACCTACAACCTCCAGTTCAATATGTTTAGTAGGTCACTCAGCCCTTTTTCAGAAGGTATTTTTAAGTCGGGTTTGCAGCTCTGGATTGAGTTCCTCCGGGAGGGCAGGGGAGGACAGGCAGGGCCAGCCCCGGCACAGCACCACAAACCAGGTGATCTGCAGCCTTCCACTGATGGAGAAAGTCATGGTCCTGCCCCAACATCCTCCTAAAGAGAGCTGGAGAGGGTTTTGGACAAGGGCATGGAGTGACAGGATAGGGGGGAGTGGCTTCCCGCTGCCAGAGGGGGTGTTTAGAGGACATATTAGGCAGAAATTCTTCCTTGTGAGGATGGTGAGGTTACCCAGAGAAGCTGATGGATATTTCTGTGTAGTGAAATCCTATTTGGCTGTTAAGGAAAACCCAAATTTGTGCCAGTTAAATTTAAGGTGATGGACTCTCCCTAACTCTCCTTCCGCTATTGTGCCAGGCTGGCATGGGAGGAGAAGGTGTATATATATGGATATATATATTTTTATATATATAAAAATACAAACTTAAAGTATAAAACCATATTAATATGTAAAAACACATATAAATACATATAACACAAACTCATGTGCAGGTGGGCCTGGAAGGTATTTGGTAAGGACTGGCAGGAGCAGTGTGATCGCCCAGACTTTTGTTTCCTTGGAAAAATGGGCTGAAGCTCCCTGGCTTTGTAGCCTCTACCTTTTCCTTTTCCAGAAAATGTGTAAAATAAGATAATCTCACCTCTTTCTGAAGCCAGACAGCGTTGTGTGCACTACTAAGATATGTCCCTAATACAATTTACCTTGAAATTGTTAAACTTTAGTCTTTTTTTATTTTTCCCAAGTCTGACAACCAGCAGCCAAGGGGAGCCTGGTTTCTCTGGCTCCCATGGAAGCAATATTTAGCGTGTAGTGTTTCTGCAGGCACAGCTGGGGAGCAGCTGATGTGATGCTGTGAATAAAACTCGTGTTTCAGGGAGCAGCTTTCCCAGCAGCAGCTGAAGCAATCCCAGATAAAGCAGCAGAATCGAGCGGACTCGATATTCCCCTCCCTGGGGATCCGTGTGGGCCGTGGGATGCTCCAACCCGGGCTCTTTGAAAGCTCCCTCCTACATAAATCCCCTTTTATCCCTGTGCAACAGCTGCCCCCTTTGCCCGGCTTTTGGGGACTCCAAAGCCTTCAGCTTTGCACATGAAAGATTTTCCTGTCACTGCAGGGTTGAGGGATGAGCGGCTCTTACCATTCCTTTCATTTCATTTTTAGGGGACTTTGTAGTGCTGCAGCTCCCATTTTCTCCGGGAAATGTTCAGGTGGGCTCGTGCCCTTGCTCTGCCCGGCAGCAAACATCCCAGCCCAGCATCCCTGGGGCTGGGCTCTGCAGCCACGTCTCTTTTTTAAAGAAATCTGGTGATTTTGAGTCAGCCCAGCCGGAGATGCCTGAAAGAGCCATATCCCAGTGTGGTGAATAGGGCAACTTGAATGGGGCTTGATTCCCTCAGTGCCTGCAACGGCTTTTCCCTGGGGTGCAGTGAAAACATGGGAAAGGCATGTGGCTAAAGGGGCTCTGGCTATTTAGCATCTCCCCTGCAGCCCTGTGCCCTCACCTCCTGTGGGAAAAGGCCCTCCTCACCTGCAATCTCATTCTCGTGGAGGTCGATGGTCTCCAGGGAGGGGACAGTGGCCAGGGGCTCCGGGAAGCGCCGGAACCTGTTTCGGGAGAGGTCGATGGCCCGGAGGTGCAGCAGGGAAGTGATTTCCTCGGGCAGGCGGTGCAGGTAGTTGCCTGCCAGGTTGAGTTCTGTGAAGAGAGGTGGTGGTGAAATAATTCATGAATAGCTTAATTTACAGCCTCTGTCCCCCTTGGGCTGCCAGGTCCAGCAGTGGGTTTCCAACTGCAAAAATGGGAATGTTTTGCTATTTCCCATGGCATGCCATTGTACTTCTGCCTGCTGGGAATGCCACTCTGAGGACGGATGTTTTCCTTGGCTTCCTCAGGCTTTGCTAATGAAACCTGTGCTGCATTATGCAAGCAGGGGATGCAGAAATGATGAATATTTCCTAGTAAAATCAGCACAATTACCTCCCCAATGGACACTTATCGTGGCTTATCCTCATGTGCCTGAAACCCTCCTGAGGAATAAACAGAATGGTGGAAGAGTTCCTATATGTGAAAAATAACTCTGTGGAGTTTACCCTTCTGTGGTGTTTCCCTAGCAATGAGCTCTGGTGGGGCCAGGAGCAGCACTCCTCACCAAAGCCAAAAGCCATGGGAACAGGACCCAAACCCCAGTGTCCCAGCGCCCTTCTCCAGTGACACAGGGCTTTCTGCTCTATAAATACCCACAGGAGCTGCCCTGCCCCTGCTAATACCTGGTATTTATAGGTCCTGCCTTATTCAGGCTGTCCCCAGCCCTGAGGCATCTCTACCCAGCAACAGCCCTGCTGAGACCTGACATGTTCATTGCTGGAGTGATCTGTTCACTAGTGGAACAAAGCCCTCGCTGGGAAACCAAATTTTTTTCCCCTTCAGGGCTCGTTGTGCTGTCTAGCAAACAAAAATTGACTTCCTTTGCTCAACATGTTTCTTTTCCCCAGCCTAGGGGAGCTCCAGCTCCACAACAAGAGAAGCCTCCCCAGACACACACCACAGTGGCAGTTGTGTGGCACATTCTGCAAGTGAAATAACTGATTTTATAAGCTGCCAGAGCAGCCCCAGTGCAGTTTCCAGTGTTTAGCATCGTGGTACTGAGTGCTCTGAGTGCTGGCATGGCCGTATTTTGGTGGATCAGCTTCTGGCTGCTTTCGCTGGGCTCTGCAGGGATGTGTCCCCATGGCACTGGTGATCATCCCCATTTCCTGCAGTGATTAACTCTCACTGATGTCTCACGAAGGGGACTAATTAACCACCACCAAGCTAACGTGCCTTCAGTGCTCTGGAATGCCCCATCTCTGCCATGCCCCGTTATCCGCAGGAGCAGCTCCAGCTCCTTAGAGGGAGCTGGAGGATGATGAAGGACCCCCACAGCAGCCTGGCCACTGCTGGAAGGTGTCAGAACACGAGTTTGGGAGGGTGGGTGTGAGCAAAACCAGTGCCCTCTTCCTGCGAGGGGTGGGAACGATAAGGAAAAATGGATTTTTGGGGGTCTGAATAAATCTGCTTGGAATGAGGTGTGAGCACAGAGGAGTGAAAACTGCAGAGGGGAGACTCCCCAGTGCTGTGCCCCTGGGGGCTCTTTGAGGGTGCTGGCGGTGTGGAAGTGGCTGTCCCTCACCTCTCAGCTGGCTGAAGGTGGTGACAAATCGGCTGGTGATGGACTTGAGCTCGTTGTTTGCCAGGGACATGCGATGGATCCCCTCAGTGACGCTCCTCATGGCTTTGTAGATTCCAACAGGGAAGGTCATCAGCTTGCAGTTGGCCAGATCTGCCCAGGAGAGAACCCTGGCACCTTGTAATGCACCCAGCCGGGATGGAGCCCTGCTTTCCACCTGCTTTTCCACCCCTTACTCCTCCATTCACCCATCTGAGTGCTGTCCCATGCCTACTCCTCTCCATTACAGGGATATTTGCAGACACCTCTGCAAGCACCAGGAGTTTGATCCCATCAGGAATGCCAGGGCTGTTCTGCCTTAGGCGTTCAACCCCAAATCACATTGCAACTACTTCCAGGCTGCAATGTTTGTTTGGAAACCCCAGCCTGTCCATGTCTAATAACTTCAGTCATGCCCCTTCCCTGTGTCCCTAAATCCCTGGGGCTGATGGAGCAGGGCAGAGATGCCACCTCCATGGCTGGTGGGGATGGAGCAGGGCTTTCCATGGGCACGCTCCTCGCTGGTGATGGGTGTTTGTCCCATGGCAAGCAGCGAGGAAGGGAACAGGGTTTGGCTGTGCTTCTCACCTCTTGGCGATTTTGTTTTGCTCTGAGTTGTTTCTGCTTCCCTTCCTGGGAGATGCCGGGGATGGAAACCTCGTATCCCGGCCCCGTGATGCTCAACCCGGGCTCTGCTTCCTCCCCCTCCCCAAAGCCACGAGCTCGGTCCTCCCACGCTTCCCTCGCTCGAGAGGATGTGGAGGGGCTGAGTGATGAAGCTCCAGCTCCCCGACGTAGGCTGGTTTATATCCCAGCACCGGGAATCCAGCAGGGATGAAAATGAGAGGCTTTCATCCCTCTCCTTTGATGAATTGCTCCCGGCACTCGGATATGAGCTGGAAACGAGGGGTGAAATCGCAGGAAAACACAGATCTGACAAGGCAACGTGGGGAAACCCCCGCTCCTGCCACCGCCTGCGAGGAGGGACTGTATCCCTGAGACACGTCCCATGGGATTACGTGCCGTGGCTGGGAACCTGCTCTAACTCTGGGGGGCTGAGAGCCCTTTAGGGGAGCCTTTCCCTCCTCCGGATCCGCGGGTGCAGCGCCGGTAGGGAATGCCCACAGCTTTTTTTAGACTGTGGCAGCAAAAAATAGAGCCCTGCTCCCGGACACCCGATCCTTCTCCGGGCCCCGAGACGGAGCTCCGGGCTTACCCAGGGAATCCGTTTTGTTCTCCACCGTGTCGTTCACCTTCCTGGCCACACGGGCCACCGCCTCGCCCATCCTCTTCTGCATGTGGGCGCCCGGTCCCGCCGGGAACGCGCTCCGGGCGGGGGGATCCACGGCTGGAGGAGGAAACCAGCCACTCCGGCCTCTCGGGAGAGGGATGCTAAAAATAACCCGCAGGATCAGTGTTCGCAGGGGAGGGAGGGAGGCTGTGCTGGGTTTGGCATGGCCCTCAGGGATGTGATTCCCGGCTTTCCAGGATGGCACATTTGGGATATGGGGATGCATCCCCTTTGCTGGAACGGGACATAAGGGTGTATCCCCTTCTCCTGGTTTGGGATATGGGGATGCATCCCCTTTCCTTGTCTGGGACATGGGGATGCATCCTATTCCCTGGTTTGGAATAGGGGGATGCATCCCCTTTGCTGGAATGGGACATAAGGATGCATCCCCTTCTCCTGGTTTGGGATATGGGGATGCATCCCATTTCCTTGTTTGGGATATGGGGATACATCCCATCTCCTTGTTTGGGATATGGGGATACACCCTATCTCCTTGTTTGGGATATGGGGATCCGTGCCATTTTCCTGGTTTGGGATATGGGGATGAATCCCATTTCCTTGTTTGGTGTATGGGGATGCATTCCATCTCCTTGTTTGGGATATGGGGATCCATGCCATTTTCCTGGTTTTGGATATGGGGATGCATCCCCTTTCCTCATTTGGGACATGGGGATGCATCCTCTTTCCTGGTCTGGGATATTTAGATGCATCCCCTTTCCCGGTATGGGACATGAGGATGCGTCCCCTTTCCTGGTTTCGGATGTGGGGATCCATGCCGTTTTCCTGGTTGGGAACATGGGGATGAATCCCCTTCCCTGGTTTGGGATATGCGGATGAATCCCATTCCCTCGCTTGGGATATGGGCATCCCATCCCCTTTCCCACCAACTTCGCTCAGCTCGGCCTTGCCAAAACATTTCGGCAGAAGGAACCGCGGGCAGGACGGGACGGGCAAGACCCCCCCCCCCCTCAAAAAAAAAAAAAAAAAAAAAAA